GATAACACCCTCTACTGTACAAGTTTTTAAGTCTAATTTATTTATATTTTTTTGTTTTTCATGGAGCCTGAGTCTGATCTAATAATTACTGTAAAAAGGAGCTCATGAAGATGTATCTGATAATTTTTTCACAGCTTTATGACTTTAGCACTTGTGTTTAGGCAAAACATCCACTTGGAGCTACTGTTGTACAACAGTGTGATATAGTAGTCCAAATCCATTTTTTTATCCATTATGGGAGCATAGTAAGTAGAAGAGAAAATTCTTTTCCCATTGAATAAACTTGGTATTCTTAAAGTCAGTTGGTCTAGTAATTATGGATTCAATTCCATAATCCATTTCAATTTTATTCTGTTCTGTGTCTGATATTGCACCAGTACTGCACTGCTTTGATTATGTAGCTGTGCAGTTAAGTTTTGAAACTGGGTAGCATGATTCCTAAAACTCTGTCCTTTTTAACAGTGTGTGGATGATTCAGACCCTTGAATCAATCTGTATGTATTTAAAAAAAATTTTGCGAGAATACACTGATTCTGTAAATAACTTAGTTGACATATCAATAATAGTCTTTCTGCTTATGAATATATAAAGTTTCTTGTGAATTTCTCTCACTGTAATGCAGTGAGTTCAGTGCAAGCACTCAAAGGATTTCAAGGAGTGTAATCTATCTAGCCCATGACACTGACATGAATTTTATTTCTCCACTCCATGAAGAAAAATCTAAGTAACCGTGGAATAATTTGCAGAGTCAGTGTGATCTCACATTAAAAGAATAACAAAATCTCAGAAGAACAGCTACTTAAAGCATTAAGAATTGTTAAAAAATAGTTGTAAGGTTTTATGATTATATGATTTTATCACAAAGAAACACGTGAACATACAAACATATTCTTGTACACAAAGGCACCCGTACTCCCACAGAAAGACTTCATCGATGCTCTACCTAACACTGCAATGCACTACGGTGAGGGGAAGTAATTTCCTACAAGTAACATATCAAAGAATACCTCAAAAATAATTAATTTGTTTATTGTACTTGTAATTCTTTTCTGAATTAATATTCTATACATCAAATTTCATCCTAAACAACACAAATGTGTAGGAACATGATTGTGTCTTCTGGGTGTCTGTTTTGGCTGATAAAATAAGAAATGCTGTGTTACCATGATGAATGGCTCAGTACACTGCACTAGTCTGCAATGTTTTATGCTAGTGGACACCACTCAGAAAAAAAAAAAAAAACCCACAATTTTTGAAGACAGTTATAAGATACATGTGTTTAAAAAGCAACTATTCCCTGTTTATCACCCTATTTATAAAGTTTAATTTCTTTTTATGAAAATTAAATACCAATATTTTCATTGTATAAGAATGGATCATCATGTATACTATAATAAAGGTTACTGTATAGGCACATTAAGTCAATAAAAGGAAGACAAGAGGTACTAGAGTTTTCTCCTCACTGTACAGCATAACACTGTTATTTCTTAACATTAGAAGAGTGAATTGTTAGCTCTTTCTTTCTTGGTATACTATCTCACTTAATCTATTAATTTTGCCTTCTTCTATAAATAATAAAAGTTTTTCTCTAAAGTCAAAATGGATTAAAGATCTAAACATTAAAGCAGAGACGCTAAATCTTCTGGAAGAGAAAGTAAGAGGAACTCTTGAAGACATAGGGGTAGGCAAAGAGTTCATGGACAGAAATCAAATCGCACGGGTAACAGGTGAAAGACTTAACTGGGACCTGCTCTTACTGAGAAGTTTTTTCACGTCAAAAGAAATTACCAACAAGGTGAAAAGGCAACCTACAAATTTGGAAAAAATCGTGACAAATAAGCACTCAGACAAGGGTCTGCTCTCTAGAATCTATAAAGAACTAAAAAACACCAGGGCCCCAAAATTTAAAGACACAATCCAGAAATGGGCATCCGACGTGAACACACGCTTCTCTGAGGAAGAAATTAAAGAAGTGAATAAATATATGAAAAAATGCTCCACATCGCTAGCCATTTGTGAAATGCAAATTAAAACAACATTGAGATATCATCTCACTCCAGAAAGAATGGCTATCATAAAGAAA